TCTCTCCTTTATCCACCACCCCCGTTCCCCCGTTCGCCGTCCACCGTTCACCTTTCTCACATCCACGTCGTGGCATCCTACAAAGACAACGACGACGGACGTTCTCCACAGCCGATACGTGGCAGCGTCGCCCTGGCTGGCGATTCTCTCGAGTCTTCATCGCCCTTTCGCAACGAGACGACGAATGATACACCGAGATAATTTTTCTTGCCTCCCGTCTCGTTTTACCGAAAACTCCCAAAAACTCCGCGTCTCGCTTTACTTTTACTCATTATACGCAGACATAATGAGTTTCTACATGTATTGGCACATAATAATAATGTTATTGTATTTAGACCCGGTTGCACCAACATTATTTCGGTTTTCAACGAAACTTAACACGTACCTGTCTTTATCTTTCTTTCTAAATAAAATGAGACAAATACATATTTAAGTCTCGCTTAAGATCAAAATAACGTTGGCGCAATTTGGCCCTAGATACACGTATTATATTAAAGTTAAATAAAAAGATCCAAAACGTTTTACATTTCTCGACTATACGCTGTTCACAGTTAGTGGTTGACGCGCACTTTCCACGCAATAATATCGATTCCGTCGAGCAGATTCCCATCGCCATCGGGTGGCAGAGAGAGAGAGACTCCAGAGAGGGCCGCTTTACTGAAACTGCTTTCGAATCGCGGAGAGGGAAAACGGGAAATGTATTTTCGCGATCCGACTCCTTTACGATTCCGTCGAATCAGATAACGTTCAAAGACTCGTGCTCGCACCGCGACGTTACGGATACCGCGGGAGGATTCGCCGGGAAGAAATGGAGGAAGAGAACGAGGCGAGGGTAAGCCCTGGAGATGAATTCCGCGTATCGTTTGTAAGAAAACGAGAGAACAGCCGTTCCGACTTCCCCTCCTTTTATCCACGAATGCCGCGAATGAGAAGACGAAGGCTACGAGGCTTTCCCCGAGACGCTTTAACGATCGCCTGCCGACTATCGCGGACAACCGCTTTTCTATCTCTTTTCCGACTTATCGTCTCGCTCGCAAGTCGTATGTGTCCGTTCTACGATCGCTTATACAATGCTCGACTCGAATTGAAATTTGATAGAACATCCGAGGAACATCGATGCCGTTTTTTTATTCACAAGTTTCTAGAACGATGCAATGATTTGTATACAATTTCTATGAATCATTTATTTAACCTGACACACGTAATTTTTCGAAAAAAAAAAGAAAAAAAATTTACGATAACGTTATTACAGCCAACGTTGGCTCCTTTCGATTCGTTTTGAGGTATTCATCTTAGGGTGAAACCTGCTAGTAAGGAGATCTCGCTCGTGAGATCCAAACGCGAGACTGGACCGGAGTCGTCCGTTCGGTCACCAACGCGACAGGTTGAGGTGTGTCCGAGTATAGTGTTCCAATACATGCGGGCGCGCATGGTGTACACAGACACACGCGCGTACACATGTAAATAAAAACCTACGGCCCGACTGGTGTGGTAAGAGAAAGACGCGGTTAGCCAGTGGTGATTCCATTCACTGATTGAAATCTCCGTCCATTTGTCACTGTCAAGGAGGTGGCGATAGCCTCTTTCTCCCTATTTCTCTATCTGTCTCCCTCCTCTCCCTCCTCTCTCTCTCTCCCTCTGCCTCCCTCTCCCTCTTGCCTCCTTCTCAGTCATTGCCTCTACCATCGTGGACTACCCACACGCTTCTCAATGTGTGTCCGATACCATTATTATTTCAACTCGGGTCGCTCGGCTTAACGACCAATCGACACGCCGGATATTAATTTCTTATCGATTGTTCCCGTAGTGTCTCGGCCGTGCGCGAGTTTGGCGCAACACCAGTTCGACCGGCGCGCCTTTCGCGCCGTTCGCGCAAGCGAGAATCGTTGTATCGATTTTCGTGCCGATAAGCCGGTCATGTACCGTTGCTTCGGACAACTTACCTTTTCTGCCTCCTCTCACCCGTCCCTTCCCCGCTGCCTATCACGTCGAGGCTTCTTCTTTCTTTTACAGCCGAAACAAAACATCGATCGCCGTAATATTAACGCGGCCGTACAGACCGACGCAGAATTTTAAGTCGATCTTTTTCTGTAGTAGAAATTTTTCGTCGTATACGCGTGTCGATCGCGATTATAAAACGGAGCATTGCGAAAAGAGAGGACGAACGAAAGAAACAAATTAACGTAATATTGTCACTTACTTTGGAAAAAACGACTATTGTTCTAGACGTTGGTACTGGTACTTAGACCGGTGATACGAAGCCACTACTCATCGATTGCGAGCTGCAAAAAAAAACATACATTCTTCTTACTCCTTTTTCACAATTTTTTAACAAAACATTTTTCTGTGCGCCGAATAAATATTTATTATTTAAAGTGCGATTTAGCAGCGCCAGTCAATGTTAAACAGAATTAAATAATATCGAATCTCACTCACCCTTTGTAAAACGGTTTGAATGCGGTGGTAGCTTCCGTGGGCGGCAAGCTGGCAGTCGTTTGATGCTGATGGAGAATAGAATTCTGGCCGACTGGTGAAAAATCCTTATGCGGTGAGCTCTGTAACCGAGAGTTGAACGACGAGGCGCTACTGGCTGAACCCGAACTTGTCGATAAATAACCACCGCTACCGGGATGATTCGCCCCGTAAGGGATATTAGGATTGCCATTAGTTGCGGCACTAGCGTTGCCACCAGGACAGTAACCGCCCGGCGCCGCTTGGATCACTCCATTCGGCGTGGCCACCTTCATATTGGGCGGTGTCTGGGGTGGAGTGTCCGTGCCAACCTCTGGAAACCCCGCCGCCGCTGCCGCCGAGGAGGATGCGCTCGAGCTTGAACCCGACGACGAGTTGGGGTTGTAATGGAGCTGCCCGCCGGACGAGGACGAGAGGAAACCACCGTATCTCGCGGCAGCACCCGAGTAGGGCGCCGTCGCCGCCGCCGACGGGCTCATTCCCGCCGATGAGGGCAGAGCGAACGAACTTCCCAAGTTTCCTCCACCTCCGCCGGCGCCACCACCGCCGCCGGCGCCACCTCCTACGCCTCCTGGACCGAGCCATGGTTGTTGCGAGTGATGATGGTGTCCTTGGTTCGGCACATGATGCTGCTGTTGCTGGGGGTAGTGTTGCTGGTGATGCAGATGATGATATTGCTGATGGTGGGGATGCGAGGGTGGCGGTGGCGTTTTACATGCTGCCGTGTCCGCTAGGGACCAGATTTTGGGTTTTGTCGCGGGAATCGGTACACCACCCCCGCTACAGTCCGGCTTGATACCCTCTTCTTTCAGATGATCGTCACCATAGCCTTGATGGTGATGATGATGATGTTGCATCGTATGATGAAAGGAATGCTCGCTCCGTCGGCGGTCGTCCTCGAGATCTAATTCATCTTCATCGTCAAGATCTTTCTCATGCTGCAAGAGTTCCGCTTTCACATGTCTCATTGGTTCTAGAAACAACAGAAATTAGGTATAAATTTATTGATAAAAAGATTGAAAAGTGTCAAAATATTCAACAAACAAAAAATATTCTGCCTAAAATTGCCTCTCGTTCGTTATGCCGAATCATCATTCGTGAAAGAGAACAGGAAGAAAATATAGCATTAATAGTTTATAATATTTGATGCGCAACAGTGAGACGTAAAACGCGCGAGTCATCGTAACGGGATTCCACTGTCGTGGAGGGTCGTCGAGCGACGGGAGAATGCGGATATTTCCCTTACGCCTCTATATAGTTAAGCTGTAAGGGATGCTGTGAAAAAAGGGAGCGAAGCCTTCAACCACTTTGGGGCGCGAGAGATTTCAGTTTCCCTTTGGGGCAATGAGCGGGGAGGATGCGTGAGCGAGTGGATAAACGAGAGATAGAAAGAGAGAGAGTGAACCGTATCCATCTCCTTTTTCTCCGATCTCCCTGTCCCGTCGTCTCTCGGGGCACTCCACGGATCGTCCCGACCGTCTGCCAGCCAGCCAGGCAGCCACCGAGCCAAGCCAGGCAGTCAGTCAGGGGTGAGAATTTCATTAAGAGGTTCGAATGTGTCGG